TGAAGCAAAGGATGGAAACTAATCAAGGAGAGAAGCAACCTAGAATTAAGGAGAAATTTCCTGACAGTTAGAACCATACATCACAGCCATCAATGGCAACTGGGAAAACCACAGCCTTGACTATGCACCCTTTTGTTGGCAGGGTGATGTCTCTGCTTTTTAGTCTGCTGTCTAGATTTGCCATTGCTTTCCTCCCCAGGAGCAAGCCTCTTTTAATTTCTTGGCTGCAGTCCCCATCTGCGGTGATCTTGGAGCCCAGGAAAATAAAATCTGTCACTACCTCCATTTCTTCCCCATCTATTTGCCAGGAACTGAGAGGGACGGATGCCATGATCGTATTTTTCTTAATGTTGAGTTTCAAGCCAACTTTTGCAGTCTCCTTCGCGCACATCAAGAGGCTGTTTAGTTCCTCTGCACTTTATAAAACCTTAGTTACGATCACACCTGGGATACTGCATCCAGTTTTGGACACCTCGTTACAAAAAAGAAGTTGAGATGTCCCCAAAAGGGCAGAGAAGAGCAAATAAGATGATTAAAGGCCTGGAGACCAAACACAACTGAAGAATGGTTCCAAGAACTGGGTACAACCAGTCTAAAGAAAAAAATAACTAGGGGAGGACAGGATAGCAGTATTTCAGTATTTGTTAGGCTGCCACAAAGGGGGCAACTAATTTCCCAAAGCATCAGAAGACTAGAAGCAATGGGTGGATACTAAACAAGAAGAGAAGCAACCTAGAACTAAAGAGAGATTTCCTAACAGTGAGAACTACTAACAGGTGGAAGAGCTTGCCAATTGTAAGTGCTCCATCACTTACAGTTTAAAAACTGGAGGTTTTTAAAGAAGGGACTGGACAGCCACTTGTTTGAAATGGAATAGGATCTCCTGCTTTTGAAGGGGGTTGGACTAGAAGACCTCCAAGGCCTCTTCCAGCTCTATTCTAAACCGAACGTGTACCTCTGGGAATAGCCATTTCTGCAAAACAGACCATCTGCAGAAACACCTTGACACTGGAAGAGAAACATTTAGGAAACTTAGAATGTGAAAACTGACCTCTGCAGTGGTCCCACTAAAAGCGATGAAGCTGGAGGGCTTAGAAACACCGAGATATGGTGGTCCACAAACATGGCTTAGTGCAGGGGTCTCCGAACATGGCAACTTTTAAGACTTGTGGACTTCAACGCCCAGAATTCCTCATGACTGGCTGAGGAATTCTGGGCGTTGAAGTCCACAAGTTGTTCTACGAGCTAAGCAGGCCAGGATGAAATAGAGGGAAAGATTACTAGAATCATAGAATAATAGGGCAGGGTGGGACCTCAGAGGTCTTCTAGTCCAGCCCTCTGCCCAAGGGAGGAGTCCTTCTATCATCCCAAATGGTTGTGCAACCTTCTCTTGAAGACTTCCAGTAATGGCGCGCCCACAAGCTTTTCCATCCACCCTAACTGCCCTCCCTTCTCAGAAAATCCCTCCATATTTCCAAGTTGGAGCTTCTACCCATATTGCTTCTTGTCCCAACCTCTGGGGCCATGGAAATTAAACTTCCTTGGCTTCTCCCTCTCTCTGTGCCAACATCAGGACTGGCATAGAAGGCCAAGCAGCCTCTGGGGAAGGCTGGCCCAAAACACATGGACATCACAATAAGCTTAGCCAGCCCTACAACTCTACAAAATCAGCATAATTGAGGAGGATGATGCTCATTTGATGGCTATCAAAGGCAGGGATTCTCTCTTGTGATTTTTTCAAACAACAAATGACATGTAGAAATAAGTGGAGCCCAAGCCATCCCCAAATTAGTCTCTCCCATTTTCCTGGAATGCTTTGCTTGATTAAAGTCCCAATTGTGGTGCCCTCTACACAGATTAGCAAGCCTATTTGGAGTAACACCACAGAGCACTCCGGAAATTACTCACGAGCGCAGAGCCACCGATTCCAGATTTCTCTGTCCTGGGATACAAAACAGATTTTGAACTCGTGGCAAGAAAAGGCCCGTCGGCATCATCCTCCACGACTGTCCAAAATACTGTGGCGATAGATAGCCAGTTTGGCCTGGCGGTTAAGGCACCAAGCTAAAGAGCCGGAGACCGTGAGTTCAAGTCCCGCCTTCGCCAGCTGGGTGACGTTGGCTCACCCCAAATAACCTCGCAAGGTTGTTGTTGTTGTTGTGGTGGCAACATAGGAGGAGGAAGGGGGGTTGGAAAGGTTCGTTGCCGTGAGTTATTTGGGGGGAAAAAAGGCGAGATACAAATAAATAAAATAAAACTGGGCCAGAATGGGAGGGACATCAGTTGAGGCTATTTTGAAGAAGGAAGATGTAGCATTGGGCAATGTTTTTCTTGCTAAGCCGTATTTCCTTGGGCGATAAAATAACTTTTTCAGGCTGGAGAAAAATAGCATTGCCCTCTGAATCAATATAATAGCAATGGCACTTAGACTTATATACCNTGCTATTGCTATTGCTAAGGGATGGGGTGATCAGAGTCATAATGGGGCACAGAAGCCATTGGGAAGGGAGGGACGGTTTCAGAGCAAAGGTTCTCCGCAGAGGCTTAGACAGAAAGCCGGAGTCCTCGATTTATGTCCACAATTGAGCGCAATATTTATGTTAAGTGAAAATTTAAGTGAGTTTCCCCCCAATTTGTGTGCTCACCTAGGCTCGCCCCAGCAGCCCAAAGCCGAGTGAAAAAAAAATGGCCGTCATTTTCCCCCCCCAGTGCCGCTAGCTTTGAATGGCCACTAAATGGATCGTTGTAAATGAAGGACTATCTGTGCTTCAACGGGTTGGGATTATAAACAGGCACACGCATACTTCCTATCTTTCATTGAGTTCACACACACACAGACTCCCTACCTCTCAATGGGTTGGGATTAAACTGCTTACCATGCCTCCTCCCTCCCATAATTCCCTCTTCAAATAAATCAGCATCACACTCTGGCTCAGTTTGTTAACTCTGGCAATGAGTTGCATCCTTTTATTAAGAGAGACGAGCGTTCCCACGACCCCCGGGCCCCTCGTTTGCATCGCACGCCACACCCGCGCACGCACCGACGTTAATTCGCAAACGGGCCCGCCCCTTCTCGAACGCCGCCTCTCTCTCTCTCTCGCACGTGTCCGTGTCCTTCGGTTGTCCCGAAGTTAAGACTGACGTGAGACCTTCAAGTGCTTGAGGTAGGAAAATCCACGAGGAGGCTCTGTGGCCGCCCGCCCACCGCAAAGTTCTCCTTCACCAAAGTCCGCCGTTCGGAGCGGGAGGCGTAGAAGAGGAGCAGCGTGGCTCCGCGGGGGCTGCCCTTCCGAGATGGGGGGCGCGGAGGCACCCCAGAGTCCCTGGCGAGTTGCTTCCTCTCACCTCAAAAGGTGGAGCAGCTCGGGGAAAAGCAAACAACGTCCGGACAACGGCCAAGGCAGCCGCCAGCTGGCAGCATCCAGTAGCCGGGCGATTTCTACAGAGAACACACAGCTCCATCCATATTTCTGACATCTCACTACTCCAGGTCATTTGCCTTACTACTTGACAAACAGTCGGGCTGGCGGCTCGCTCCCCGACAACTACTACTACACATCTCCTAAGAGGGTCGGTCTTGCCGTTTCTCATAGAGAGGACGCCGGGGCCGGAAGACCCCCCTTCGGCTCGCAGAAGAACCTGCCGTTCAGGCTGTAGCCGCCCTCCGCGTGTCCTCCCCGCACGTCGAAGTCGATGGTGACCTCCTCGATCTCCTCGTGGCTGTTCTGGACGGTGCTCTTCCCGTGCAGCTCCTTCAGGTGGCGCCGCAGGCCCGGCTTGTGCGTGAAGTGCATCTCGCAGTAGTTGCACTTGTGGGGCTTGATGCCGCTGTGGAGGTTAAGGTGGTCCTGCAGGGTGGCGTTCTGGGTGAAGCACTTGCGGCAGATGGGGCACTGGAAGGGCTTGAAGCCCGTGTGGACCCGGATGTGGCGGGTCAGGTTGCTCTTCTGCGAGAAGACTTTGCCGCAGCGCAGGCACAGGAAGAGCTTGTGCTCTTGCACGTGGCTGACCAGGTGGCCCAGCTGCTGGAACACCCGGCTGCAACGGGGGCAGCGGTACGGCCGCTCCAAGCTCGGGACCTTCCACGAGGCCACCCCGCTGCCCGTCCTCCACTCCCGGTAGTTCATAGCCGGGCGGTGGCGGTGCAAGGGGTAGTTTCTCCACTGAGAAGCGGGCGAGGGGGTCGCGGAGGGGAAGGGGAGCCCTTTGCTGCCCATCTCGTCGTCGTAGCAACCCTGCAGGTAGCTGCGGGTGATCTCCACGGCGGAGTTGATGAGGGAGAGGGAGATGGCGGGAGAGGCGGGGCCGTGGGAACTGCGGGGGGTGAACTCCACGGCCGCCATTTTGCTTTCTTCACAGTCTGCTTTGCCCGGGGTGGAAGAGGGCTGCTTCTCCCTTTCCTCCTCCTCTTCCTCCTCCTCCTCTCCGTCTTGCTGCTCACTGCTCTCCTCCTCCTGCTTCTCCTGCAGCAGGGCGTCTGCCTTCGGGACCAGGTAGTGGGAGACGGCCTGGGCGCAGCGTTCCACCACGTGGCCCATCTGCAGGAAGGAGGCCGCCGTTAAGTAGTTGACCAGTTCCTTGATGGGCACGTCCAGGCACCCCGTGTAGCAGGACAGCAGAAGCTGGCGCCCGATCTCCGGGCTCTGGAAGAGGGAGACCGTCACCTCTTGGGAATCGTTGAGCAGGAACTGGTCACGCAGGAAAGGGGAGCAGGCCGCGAAGACCACGCGGTGGCCAGGAACCCGCAGCTCGTTCACCTGCACCGTCACGTCGCAGAAGCGTCGCTGCTCCCGCAGCTGGTCCATGCGGTGCAGAACGCCATCGCCGTATCCGGGAAACCGGAACTGCAGCCGCTCGGAGGCTGGGGCCATTATGATATGCCTAGAAGAGACAAGACGAAGGAAGATGTCAACTCTGAAGTGAACCTGGCTGAGGACATCTTGGAGGCTTCAGGGTTGTCACACAACAGAGGGAGGGGGGAATTAGTTAGGTGGAGTTTTGTAGGCAAAACAGTAAAGCTTTCCTGTGGGAACCAAGGACGTTCTCACAGGAGGCTGAACAGAGGAGGAGCAAAGTAACCAAGCAAGCGGTCAGCACCTGGATTGGACAGTGTGACCAGTGACTTGGGGGAAAGGGGAAACGTTTACTTTTAATTAGGTAAAAACCGTGGGAAATCTCACAGTCGCTTTCATCAGTTTCATCAGCCAATATGATTTATCGCCAATATGACTTTCTGCTTGGATAACCCTCAATAGATCGGGGAAGCAGATGGGGCTCAGGATGCCGTGGAATGGCTTCCATTAAATCGGAGAGTTGGCTTGATGTCAGTGTTCCAAGCAATGCACCCCTAGAAAGCAGAACTCCGAGGCAGGCAGATTCCTCAAAGGACAGTTTATTGGATACATCACATTGGCACAAACTGGTGAAAGCCGACTCTGAAAGTTCCTGCAGCTTTTACCTCATTAAAAACTGTGAATGACTGGCAGAAGTTAGGTTAGGTTAGGTTAAGTTTATTTATAGGCC